AAATAAAATATTAAAAGGTAGTTTAATAACAACATTATATAACTATTTTATATTTTTATGCAAAAAAATTAAACATAAAAATATTGTTAAATACAACCTCAACTTTCATATCTAACAACCTTATACATTTTTTTATTTTTTTATCATAAAAGAATCTGTAAATTTGATTATCATTGTCAATATACTAACATAGAACCTAAAAAGCTAACAGGCGTTCAAAATAATTTTATATGAATTGATATAGATGGAAGTTAAAATGAGTAACAAACCATTTGCATTTCTTGTCATAAAGGCCAAAAAGAAAGAAACGGGGCACTAGTACAAACCATCGAAGCTGCACAATTCTATCCTCTTGAGCATCCCTTCTGTTGTAGTTGAACTCGGCAATATCATCAATCTACAACCACATGTTCCCTCACACATCATCATGATGTTTGCATAGGCTTTAGATCAAATTAAACTTTGCTAGATCAAATTAAACTATGCTGTTATAACTCTGGTGATGAGGCATTTGATGAGTGGTGAGTAAACCAGTTCGGTGAAGGAGTCTGTTCTGTAGTGGGCCTGGCCTTAAATGGCACAGCAGTACTTGTTTCCTTGAGAAATTACGAATTGCCATCGTTGCCACCGTTGCAATCGGCATAACTCTCAATCTTCGAGCCACGACGAAGGGAATACAATCGTCACACAAAGCCAAACAAAGTGGGTACATCTCTTGAGTATCTCTGAAGCGGAACTGAAGCCTACTTTTAAGTTATGCAGACCAGTGACGACACAGAAAAAACCAACAATGAATGGTAGGTGGGACTTGCTGCTGGAATGTGTAGAGCCACCGAAGCAACCTGGTAAAAAGGCTGCTGATTCTGCTCACGTGTTGATGGCGATCAAGTGCTTCAGACTCCGGGCCAAGTTGGTGGAACTTGATCGATGAGGGAGAGTAATGAACGTTGATTACTTAGGTTGTAGTGTGCTGCCCCTTGAAACTCCAGGATCCTAACTACTGATGGAACTCTAGTTTTTTTCGTTTTTTTTCTTCTGCTGCTTCTTCTTCTTCGACTTGGGCATTGTTGGTGTAGCACGCGGTGTAGGCGAGGCATGTGCTCTGGAACCTGCGATGCCAGTCCAGAGCTTGAATTCCTACATTGTAAATCATTGAATCCAACAAAATACGATACACAAATTCAAGAATTAACATCCTCACATCCATCTTCCTTTGCTAATGAAGAAGAATTAATATAAATACCCACAAAGCACCTTGGAAAAGTTAAAAATAAATAAATAAATAAATAAATTTGGCATTCTAGAAACACAATAATCTCTCAGTCAGAAGATTTTATTCATTTATGTGTATAAATGTAAATGTGTGTATTAACATTATATATATATATATATATATATATATAGTTGTGGGTATGTGCGCGCGTGAAAAAGTTACAATAAACAGCATTTTCCTGATCGTGAACAGTCTGCGAGTGATTACGTGCAACTTGTGCAATTTGGTGCCGAAGCAGCACCAGGTGCCGTGTTTGCAGGACTTGTTGCAGGTTTTCATCAAATCACTCAGATATATCCCATAGAGCCGTTTTCTCCTGATCCTCTAGCATGCCAAGGCGTTTTAATCTCCGGCTCGATGTAGTTATCGTAGAACTAAACACCGAAATCATCAGTCCACAAAGCGGTTGGAAAGTGAGGAAGCAAGCTGTGAAGCTGCTGATGGACAGGAATAGATTGATTGGAGTTGTGAGTTCCGGACTCCCGCATCATCAGACACACGGGGTCATGATTCGAGATGGTCAGAACCCCAGACTGACAAAGAATGAGCTGCACAGATTGCAGTCAATGAGGCCTGTGTTGCATTCATGTGGATCTCTCCTCAATCCCCACTCCCTGAACCAAACCTGGCCGTGGTTCTCAGCGGATCGACTTCAGGTTCTCACTTACCTCCGCCACACAGCACTGGGACCGTAGTGGATAGACTCTCGGTTGCTGACCAACCCATTCAATGCAAGCATTTCAACTCGAAGGGAACAAGAGTACCATGTTTATTCAAGTTTTCAGTTTTATTTATTTTTCGACCGTTTTCATGGTGCTGTGAATCTTCACCACGATGAGAGAGTCGAAACGATGTTTTCAAAACCTGAGATACTGAGTTTTACTACCTGCCGATGTTTAGTTTGGAAATAACCTTTGAAGCCACTGCAGTAGGTTACATTTTTGTTACAATCCTATTTAACAGTTCAAATACTTGCTCATGATGTTTTTTGTGCTCTTGTGTAGCCAACTGGAAGACAGTAGATCGATAATTTCTGGATACATTTGGGGTTATCAATAGAGGGACTGTACTGTCTTTGTCGAACGCCTCGGATGCTAATCCCAGGTTTGAAAATGTCAAACAGATTCAAGGATTTGTTCATTAGACTGGCCGATTGCAGAAAACTGAGATCTAGACAATTCACAATGAAAGCAAAGCCTCTGTTTGCGTGACGTTTATATTCAATGAAGAACGGAAGAAAAACACAAAAGCAAGGGATTTAATATTGAAGAAAAATATTCCTATACTATGCTAGAATGATGTGGGAAATCACTCTATACACTGTAAACAATGAAGTTGACAATGGCAAAGCTCTGCTTCAACATTGGGACAGGACTTGGATGGCCAAGCTAATATTCGGTGTCAGACACAATAAATCCATATGGTGGAATTTAATTAATTTAATTATGGAGGCATTATTGTACACAACAGTTCAACAACTAATATTTCTTAATATTTAGCCTAACATATGTAATAGCGCTTCATCCTCCATCAAGATTTTTTGACATCAAGTCATTGAATGCCATGTACATATTTTTCTAGTAAATGCATTGGGTATAGCCCCGGCTGTGTCAAAAAAAGAAGAAGAAGAAGAAGAAGAAGAAGAAACGACTGCAAAAAATAGAAAGTGCGTATATCAGAAAAAATCATCCTAAAAAACTCACCAAATGTTTGTCAATAAATAGAATGATAAATATGTAATACAAATTTTATTGATTTATAATATTGATTGGTGGTAAAAATTTGTCTATATTATTACAAGAAACCAATGTGACATTCCACATACATGAAATCAAGTTTATCCTTTGTTGTTAGTTATCAAGTAAATGAATTTGATCATAAAAAAGAATACTACATAGACATAAATCATCAATATGAAAAAATTGCAAAACAAACAGACTAAAACAACTTGTTCCATTATCGCAGAGTTGTTTATTCAAGTTTTTGCGTACAAAATTTACAGATGTGAGATACATTAAGATAAAATAAACTATGATTATGAATCGAAGATAACATACAATCAATCTTTTTTTTCATAATTAATGATGTAAAAATATATATACACTACAAAAGATATCAACTTGGTAATAGGTATTAAAAGAATAAAATTTATAATTATATCATTAGTAGTAAAGAAGGCTATCAAAAGTAAGTTGGTATTTGGGATAATCTAAAATTTGTAAATATGGTACTACTGTTAATAAAATATCATTATTTAGAATTATTGTGTTACCTACTATAAAAGTATATATACTAAAATACTAACACCAAAACTAGCAATACCAATAAAAATAATAAAAAAAATCTTCATATTTCAAAAGAACTAAACAATATTGTTTTTCAACCACTTGTGCATCTTTCGGGAATGATCTTTTCAACCAAAAAAGTTTTTCAAAGACAAACTATTGTGTGCTTCAATTATTAAAGTAGTAATGAGTGGTATTGCAATTTGATTGCCAACTACAGCACAGATTGGTACATGTGTTTGTATTTGTGATCACTCAAATAAATACATGAGGGCCAAACAAGTGGATACAGAATACGTTTAAAAATATATGCAAGTACTATTTCTTTACCTCTGTTATTGTGTTGTTACTGTGTCTATGATTTGACTGTGATGTAAAAATAATAAATATACCTGCTTCTCATATAGGTTGTGTGATATCATGAGTCCTAAGTGTATAGTTGTTTAATCACTGTATTCTCAACTTTGATTACAGCTGCTATATGGACAAATTCCAATTATTATATAATAAGTCTAATTAATATATATAGATAACCATTTAAATGTATAAATCTTCATTCTCTTTAGATTATCACAAGTTGACAACAATGCTACATCTCAAAGTTGATACACATTTACATACAGATACATGTAAGAGCTTGGCACGGAAGCATGTGTCGGTATGGGTTTGCGGCGAGGCTTGGGATTTGGTGAGCGTTCTGGAACAGCATCGCAGCCTGTGAAGCGACCGTTGGGTGAAGTCCGTCTAGTGGAGATTTATCTCGGGTGTGGAAAAGTTGGGCTGCTTCCGCAACAGACAAAGCGGAATAACTCCGACCCGGCTCGTGTCTCCTTTGCATTTGATGAACTGATGTCACTTACAAAATAAAGTATAAATATTTTTTTCTTAAAAATCTTATATATATATATATATATATATATTTTTCAACAATCGTATATGAATTAGAAATAAAGACAACTAAATGGATGGTATTTTTACTTCTTTTTGTGATAAATTTCTTCAAAAGATAATTGTAGTGTTTTAAAGTGTTAATTAAAAAATTATATTATTTAAAAAAAATTATATAGAAGTATTTAATTTTTTTTCAGTTTTTATTTTTATATTATTATTATTATTATTATTATTATCTCAAACAGTATTTTTTTTAAAGCTCATTAGCCTTGTAAAAAGTTTTGATTTGAGACTAGTACTTGTAAATATTCAATAGATATGTACAAATCTAAGATATTTATCACAATCATTACCTTTTATACCAATTATTATATCATGAAATATGTACTTTTATTGTTAAATGTATGATCTGTACATATTATAATTTTAAAAAGTAGTACGAGCAACATTTTGTATTAAATATATGAAGATAATATATATATATATTTCTCTCTACAATTTATACCTTTATTCACATAGGTTATAAAAGTTTTTGAAAATACTAAGACCCATTTCAAGAAAGAAATTGGAGCATTGGCAGAAATTACATATCTCATGAAGAATGAAACAATGGATGAACTTCACACATGTTACACTGCTCTACAAGATGTGGTCGGGGTCAACATCAAAGCCTATCTTCACCGTTATGCAGATGCTCTAAAGACGCCAGAAATGAGTATTTCTTCTTTGACAGAAGAGCTATGGATTTGCTGGAAACTCCAGCAAAACCGTGTGGAGAGGTTGCTGGATCAAAGCCAGAATTGAGCCTCCAAACCATTCGTAATTCTGCATCAGAAGTATTTGCTCTGAAGTGGAAGCAAACAGATGGATGTGATGTCAATGAATTTGATCATGAATTCAGGTCGGCTCAACGCAGTTTCCAACGATGCTGAGCTCTTGGATTTACACTAAGAATGTGATGTGATCATGACTACTGACAAGCGGAAGCTCTTTCTACACTCTGAAAGTGCCTTCTTAACTGATCTGAGGGAGGCCCTGGAGTGTGTGTATACTCCTAAGAAGTACAATCACACTATCAACAACTTGGCTGATGGAACAACTTCTTCACTGCATGGAGTAAGCATTGTTGATCTTGAGACTCAAGTTCTCAGTCCAGATGGCTAGCACGACCCTGAGGAGAACGCTTTTGAAGATTTGAAACAGAAGAGTGCTACTGCAGAAGACAGTGAAGTTGTTCCTTTGCATAGGAGCAGGCTTGGTGGAGTAGTCGTAAGAACCAGTTATGGAACTCCCACAGGTTCTCCATTAGTTTCCAGACCAAAAAATGGACCCAAATCTGTTTTTATTGCCTTGGCGACCACATGAAACTGACAGATGTTGAGCATTGTCATTAAAGAGAAGTCGCGGAGCAGCATCTCCTCGGAAGCACAGGGACAACGGAGTGCGAGCAAGCCCAACTCAACGAAGCACACTGCTTCGTTGCTCCGCCCACTTTGCGAGCCTAGACACTCCGTTGTCCCTGTGCTTGCAGCGGATAGTGCTACTGATCTTTCATTCGTCGTGCAGATGAGGGAAAGCTATAATTGTTCTTTCTTATCCTTTCTTTCTAGGGTTTCAAGCACACTCACAGAGACGTACCTGCCTCACACTGTTCCTCGCCCTTTCAGCGAAACCCTTGGAGCTTCCACGCTTCGGATTGCTAGAATCTGCGCACGCGCACACGCCGTATCGTTGTTCTGCTGCACGCCAGTAACGTGAGATCTAGGGGGTTGCTGGTGGGTACTTCTTCTCGCTCAGCGCACTGTTGCTTAGGAGAGCCGGTTGTTTGAGTGGGTAGGGTTGGAGAAAGCTATGTGCTGTGCATATCGTCGATGCTAGGAATCGAAGTGTGAGTGCGAGTGGAGAATGATAGCATCTTCCAGACTGTGGTAGTGTCTCCATGTTGGGCTCCGTGTGGTTGTATCAATGTGAGTTTGTTTTTTCTCTCCCACGGTTTCGCCACCGGAATGAAAATGCAGTGGTCGGTTTGGTGCAATGTTGCTTGAAATCGGCGACTGTAGAGGAATATTCGAAATGCGGCATGTTTGATGCTGTAGATGGTCGCCTTCTCTGTCAGTTTCATGTGGTCGCCGCGAGCGGATGAATTTGGATATTGTCGCCAAATGTAGTCTGCCCTTCAACAAGACCTAGCTTCAGTAATTGCAGCAAGTGAGTCAAAAATAATATTCGACCCACAATTCTGTGCTTTCTAGGTATGACAAAGTAGGTATGTGGACATTTGATGATTGACTTCTTATTGTGATTACTTAATATGGTCACTAACCAAACACAATATAGTTACAATGGAAATTATTGAGAAGAATAGAATCTCACAATTAGGTGTATGAATGTGTAGGCACCTATAATCAAAATATATAATCATAGAATGAGTTTTAAAATTGTGTGGGTGAATTTTTTGTATTGTGTGAATGAATTGTACATGTTTTACTAATTTTTTATAACCATAGTTGATATAGTTTTTCATTTGTATAAGAGTTTTAAAACAAAGATAGAATGGAGATAAATTTTATAATAAAAAAATATGGAATTAATTACAAATGATTAGAGAAGAAAGTGAAAAAGTTTTTTTTTTGAAGATGATTTATTATTATATAAACTATATTATGTAAGATTTTAGATGTATGAATTTTTTTGTAGTTAAGAAGAATATGAATAGATTTAATTATAATACATGTTGAAGATTTCATATAGGATTATAAAAAGAACAAGAAGAGAAAATATTCAACTATTATAATGGTGTTGTTAAGACATTGAGTTTGATTATTATCAAATTACATATCATGATTAAGTATTGAATTGGTTGTTGATGTGTGGAATAGATCAAGTTGTTATTGTTGATGTTAGGATTTAGAAGTATCTAACTTTCAGATTCAGATTTAGATGTAGATCTTGGTTCGTACTTGAAGTTAACAACATTTTGGTGTTGGTGTTTGTTTTTTCATCTTAAGGCAAAATTATAGAATACTTGTATTATGTTATTGCTGAGATAGATCCTTAGTGGTCCATCTTTGTAGTTTCAAGTTTTAAAGATGTTGATTGTGCTTAAAAGACCTCTTATGGTGTATAGATGTGATTTGTGAGCACAAGAATGATATTTGAATGACAATTCAGATTTGAGACACTTAGATAGGTCATCAAACTTATGAGAAGTCTTAGAAGTGAAGTTGAGAGTGTTTTTGAGAGTAAGAATACTAGTTTGTTCACAAAGAAGGATTCTGTGATTCTAAGGCAGCAAAACTTTTTTGCTGGTTTTGAGGCCATTAGGACTTCTTACAATCTTTTTTGATACAACCTTTTCTTAGACATGGCTTCAAGTGAGGGTGAAGGATTGAGAGTAATTGAGAAATTTAGAGGTTAGAATTTCTACCATTAGAAGGTTAAAATGGAGCTTTTGTTGCCATCTTTGGATCTTTGGAATATTGTAGATGAAAGTGAAGAGGCTCTAAGCATAGATGTTGATATGTGTTAGGGACATATTCGTTAGAACCTTTTAGAGAGAAGTTTCTAGAAGCTTCTAGAAAAGAAGTCTCTGGAACCTTCTAGAAGAGAAGTTTCTAGAAGCTTCTAGAAAGGAATCCCTTGGAACTTTCTAGAAGCTTCCTAGTTAATAGAAGTAGCTCGAGAAGTTTTTAGAACCTTCTAGAAAAAAAGCCTCTGGAACCTTCTAGAAGCTTCCTAGTTAATAGAAGTAGCTCGAGAAGCTTCCTAAGTAGGAGTATATATAGGGATCGAGGCTGAAGAGTTCTTCAGTCTCGACAACACACCTCTTGGAGTTCTAGCTCACCTTTCTGGTGTTGTTCTTGTACTCATCTGTTTAATCTAGTTCTGCCACTTCTTCTTGAACTTCTTGTTAGATTTCAAGTTTATATTTTGTGTCCGTGACAGTTTGTCGAGACTACACTAACTTGAGATATCAGAGCTAGTTCTTTCTTAGTAGAGTGTGGATTACCCCTCTACTTGAAGGTATACTAGCATTTTTTAGAGGTTGCGGATTACCCTCCTCTAAACTGATACTTCTTCTGTTACAATATTGGAGTCTTATTCTTCTTGGAGAGAGTGGATTACCCCTCTTCTTGAAATTCTTAAGGCATTTTATAGGTTGTGGATTACCCTCCTACAAACCAATATTGCCTCTTATAGGGTCATTTTTGTCCTTCTTTTAGAATGGCCGGAGGTCAAGACATTAGTATGACAGAAAGTTCAGAGTCTAAGTTAGATGCTATTATGAATGCCCTCGCTACGTTATGACAAAGAACTGCAGAGATTGAAGGAGTGGTGGCAAGGCTTCATAATGATGGAGTATTTGAGATAGCACAATCTAAACTACACCAGCCTCAAATTTCGGTACTTGGAGAAACAACTTTACCTCAGGTTCGACAAGAACCACTAGTTCTACAACATAAAGAGCCTCGAGTTAGCCTTCCAGATAAGTTTGATGGAACACGTTCCAAGTTTCGAGGATTCGTTAATCAAATCAGGTTGATAACAGTTTTACAGCCCGAACGATATCCAACGGAGGAGTCACGTGTTGGGCTTGTTGGAACCTTACTTACGAGACAAGCTCTATCATGGTTTGCTCCTTTGTTTGAGAAACGATCATCCATATTAAACAACTTTGAAACCTTTTTGGAAGCATTTGCGGAAGCATTTGGTGAACACGATAAGGTTTGATGGGCTACAACAAAGATCCGGTCGCTACGACAAGGGATGCATTCTACATCAGTCTATGCTTCGGATTTTAGGCAATTAGTATGCGACATCAATTGGGATGAAGAAGCGTTGATGAGTCAATTCTATTGGGGTTTAAGAGATGATGTGAAGGATTTGCTGTTAACTCTTTCTGATCCACGAACGCTCAATGAAGCCATTAGCCAAGCTGTGAAGTGCGATAATCGCCTATTCCAACGTCGCTAAGACCAACACTCAAGACAGCATACAATTCGCCATACTCCAACTATGTCGGCAAGCGGTGTGAATTCACATTCAGAGGTGGAAGACATGCAAATTGATGCAGTACGTATCAAATCTCTTACTATAGAAGAAAAAAAGCGACGTATGGAGGAAAATTTATGCTTGTATTGCGGTGGAGAAGGCCACAAAGTCGGAAATTTCCCCAAAAAGCAAAATCGACGCATAGTCAAGACTAGGGGAGTATTTGTTCAGGAAAACGAGGATGCCCAGCCACAGTAGGAACTGTGCGGCTGGACAATGAAATATCCCAATAACAATCAGGTTCCTTTCTTTCTGCCCAACCTGCACTTTGTTTTACAATCCTTCTATTTATCGGCCCTCAAAAATTGAGAACCTTAGCACTACTAGACTCAGGAGCATCTGCTTGTTTTTTAGACGAAGAATTTGAAAAGCGTCATAAGATCCCTTTAGTACAAAAATCAAAACCTGTTCATGTTGAGGTCATAGATGGGCGACCTTTATTGTCTGGTAGCATCACCCATGAATCAAAACCTATAGAAGTAACGTTTAAAGACCATAGTAGTCATATTATTTTTAATATTATTAGAATCCCATCAAATCCTATTATTCTTGGTCTTTTTTGGTTGAAAAAACATAATCCATTGATAGATTGGAGGTTGCGGAAGATGACTTTTCCCACAAAACCACTGAAGAAAAAACCTAGTAAAAAACCTCGAAAAAAGAAATCCTTATTCATTGGAGTAAGAGCGTTCATAAGATCATCTAAGGAAGGCACTCCATTTGTCATTTATGCGGCTCCAACTACCGAGGAGAAGATCTCAACAGCAAGTATACCGGAGCAATATAAAGATTTTGAAGACGTGTTTCAAAAGAAGAACGCCGACATACTACCGGAACACCGACCATATGATTGTGCCATAGACTTGCAAGAAGGAGCACAACCACCTTTTGGCCCAATCTACAATCTAACGCAAATGAAGTTGGAAGAGTTACGAAAGTACATTGACGAGAATCTAGCCAAGAACTTCATTCGTCATTCAAAATCATCAGCTGGAGCACCCATCTTATTTGTGAAGAAGAAAGATGAATCATTACGGATGTGTGTGGACTATCGAGGCCTCAACAAGGTAACAAAGAAAAATCGTTATCCATTATCCTTGATTTCTAGTCTCTTAGAACAACTTGGACGTGCGAAGATCTTTACAAAAATTGATCTAAGGGGAGCTTATAATCTCGTACGAATCAAGGAAGGAGATGAGTGGAAGACAGCATTCCGTACAAGGTATGGTCATTTCGAATATAATGTCATGCCTTTTGGTCTTACCAATGCTCCAGCGGTTTTCCAACATATGATGAATGACATCTTTCGAGAACACCTCGACGATTTTGTTGTCATTTACTTTGACGATATTCTAATATTCTCTAAAAACGAGGAAGAGCATGAGGAGCATGTTCGTTTGGTCTTGGAGAAACTACGCAAGCGAGGACTATATGCCAAATTAGAAAAGTGTTTATTTCACCAGACGGAGATGGAATTTTTGGAGTTCATTGCAACTACAGAAGGTTTGAAGATGAACCCCAAGAAAGTAGAAGCAATCATGTCTTGGGAGGTTCCGAAGACGGTTAGAGACGTACAATGCTTTCTTGGTTTTGCTAACTTCTATCGGATCTTCATCAAGAATTATTCTCAAGTTGCTGCTCCTCTCACTCCATTAACATGCAAGGATAAGTTGGAATGGGGACCTTTGGCGGAGAAGGCGTTTCAAGAATTGAAGATACCATTTACTACAGCTCCAATTTTGGTACATCCAAACTTTACAAAGGCCTTCTATTTAGAAACTGATGCTTCAGATTTTGCTTTGAGAGCTGTGCTTTTACAAATGAGTAAAGATAAGAAGCTCCATCTAGTTACATTCTATTCTCGGAAGTTCTCTACTGCTGAAATCAATTATGAGATCCACGATAAGGAACTTCTTGCTATAGTAGATTCTTTCGAAGAATGGCATCACTTTCT